GAAGCAGACCGCTGTGTTAGCAGCCTAGGGAGCTGTAGCTCCTATTCCACCAGCTTCACCTACACTGGTGGCTGGCAGGTCTTTGCCTGAAGCACCAGCTCCTACCGGTAGCTACCACCAGCCGGGCTGGTTGCTACAGGCACCAGCTCACTGGTTTACACTAGCCTACTGGTTTTAGCTTGGAGAACCCAGGCAGGCTCTTTGGCCCTGAGCACCAGCGCTGGTCGGCACCAGCTCTGGCACCAGTTTGGCCACTGGTAACACCAGTGACTGGTACCACCAATGGCCTTAAGCCTGCCTGGTTGCCCATCCTCTCAGCCCTTTACCCTCCAGCGGGAAAGGCTTGATGAGCCAGCTCTTGCCAGGCACCAGGTCGTGGAGTTGATCGTCTGGGAGCAGAGGCTGCCCCAAGAGTGAGCGCCAGCACCCGCGTTTGGACCAGGATGTGCATAAGCTCATCAAAGGTGTCCGCGTCGAACCTTCCCCTGGCCAAAGCTCTGAGAGCAACCGTGAGGCTCTCCAAGTCTGCGTGGTGCTCGTCCACAACGCTCCTGAGGAGGTCCTTAAGGTCCTTGTCGTAGCTCTGGACCATATTCCAGAACCCTTGGGCTCTGACCTTGTTGGGGAACACCGGCCTTTGCCCTGGGCCGTAAGGTTCCCATCCATTACAGCCCAAGAAAACGACTGCACGAAGGGACCCAAACACACTTGGGCGGAGCTCTCTTATGCCCAGGTTGTACCGCCCCACATCTTTCACCCTCAGAACCTTGGCAATCAGGCACAGGGTGAAAAGGGCCTGGATCACCAGGAAGTCAGAGGGCTCTGGAAAGGGATCGAGCCTCTCACACTCGAGCATGGTAACCCACTTAGGCTCCTCAGCAGCATCCATTTCGGTCAGCTGGTGTACACGAGCAGCCCTCACAGGGGTAGGGGTCACTGCTCCCAGCACTCTGCACGCCAGCCTCTCCGTCTCTTGAGGGCATACGCTGATCTTCCACACCAGGTTGTCCTGGTGATCCTGGAGCCCCCCAGGCCTAGCACCTGCAGAGGGGTGCTGCTAACACCAGCTTCCTCCCCACAGTTTGTGTAGGTGACCCTGAGCTCCGGCTCATAACGCGAGTGGTAGGGCTTCACGTCCTTGCGCATCTTCACCACAAACTGCATCGTCTGTGCATAGTCTGTCCTGGGCAGCGTACCCAAGGCAGACGGGCCCTCCTGGAGCCGCACCGGCTCGTAACACGAACTGGTGTCTTCCGCCTGGGGTGTTTCCACAGGCCCCTCAGGGCTGGCTTCACCTTTGAGCTCTTCCTTGATCTCTGAAGCTGCCTGCTCCTTTTCTTCCGTGCTGCTGGTCTTCCCCGGTGGTTCCATATCCTGGTCATCACCAGGAATTGGAATGCCTGGTGGTGGCGCCTTAGCCTTGGCAACACTGGGCGTGCCTCCTGTTGCCGCGCTTGTCTCCTGGTTATCACCAGGAGACTTTTTTGGCTCAGGCTGCTGCCCCGGCCCTTCTGTCTCGGAGCTGCTGCTACTGGATTCACCAGTGGATGAGCTGGGGGACTTTGCCTTATGCTGTGGCCCTGCCTTGAGCTCTGGCAGCGTGGCTTCCTCCTTGACAGGCTGGAGGTTCTCCACCAGTGGCTCCACCATCTCCTGGTCATCACCAGGACTGGGAGCTACACTGCCTTGCTGGCGCTCCTTGGCAGCTGCCCTTACAGTCGCCACAAACCTTTCTCTCTTGCTGGGCTCCGGGACTTCAGCCGACTCTTCTTCTCCAGTGTAGTACGAGTACTCCTCCGCCTCTGTCCTGGGCTTTGCTGCTGCCCTGGTTTCCGCCCGAGGCTGTTCCTCCACCAGGGATCTCTTCCTGGTTCTTGCCCAGTCCTTTCTCCCGGAGCACAGCCTCCGGGATTGGAAGGTTTCTCGTGACCACTCCTTGGGCTCTTTCACGCTTCCCTGCTCTGTTTTTGTTGTACCACTTTTTATAGTCCGAGAGCTCACGTCGAGCAGGGGTATTACCTGGTATTACACCAGGACGTTCTGCTGAGCCACTGGATGGCTCCGCTGGTCTTTCACCAGCTTGGTCATTGCCCTGGTTAACACCAGGGCCTTCAGTTGAGCCCCTGGCCGGCTCCGCTGGCCTAACACCAGCTTGGCTATTGCCCTGGTCCCCACCAGGGTCTTCAGCTTCCATGGCCCGGCACCCAGCACCCACGCAGGATGACACCTGCACTGCTGAGCCGAAACTGCAGTAAGAACTGGTTCGCAGACACCGGTTCAAAACTTGAGCTTTGTTTGCTTTCCTTCGTCCTTGGTTCGAGCCTTTGCTTTGGCTTTGGGTTTAGCTTTGGGGCCTACCGACCCATACAAGATTCCTTTCCTGGGTGGCGTGAGGTCG